TCTAATAAGAATGTGGAGGGGGTTTCAAGGGGGGGTGGGGGCACTTTACCATAATTTGATGTTTTTCCGTTAGGTTTGATATCTCTCGCTGCGCATCAAACATAGCCTTCTGATCTAAATCTAGATCTGGATCTAGGTCCAATTAAGTGGGGTGGGAACTACCGGACCGAAAAAGCGCCCAGTTTCCTTGTTTTTCCACACAGACATTAGTGCAATAGTAAAACTGGTAGCGCGTAGACAACAACAAAAAATTAAAATAAACAGCACCGTCTAGCTAGATGAAACAATGGTGCGTAGCCCTCAGCTGACTCCTACACATCTCGGCGGTATACTACACACCACGCGGTACACTTTTTGCCTTCACTTTCAAAAGTGAAGGGGCGGGCGAATGGTAATTCAAAAGCAAACACACAAACATAATTTAACTTGGTAATCCGGTATTAAATTGCGTTCCCCGCGGGAATTTTACTAATTTTCGGTCGCTGATCACGAAAATCTTGTTATTTTTTTGATTTGACGAATATTTAGGAAATTTTTGGAATGTTTTTTCAACTACGCCTGGGGTAACATCGAAGAAGCCGCTCCCTCGTCGTCACTCCTTCGGTTCGCCGGCCGGCAAATATCGGGCATCGCCAGATATCTGGTGGTTGGACGGAGAACCCTTCGATATCGAGAGGATTGCTCAGTTTCCACGTGAAATTGACAGGATGGCGGCCATCCTCTCGCTATCCTACAGTTTGTCGATCAGCGAACTGTACGTCTAAATGGGGCTATAGGCCATGATCAAACACTTTCCACCTTTTCCTATCCTGGGCTAGCCTCTTGTTATTATTCCACATCTTCCCAATTTCCTATACATTCACACTATATCCAGTGGGTTTCACTGACTTCTAGTACGTGCTGCCTGTATCTCTTCATCCCCTGTGTTACTTTGACACTGTTTCCTGTTTTAATTACTCCCTAGAGCAAGCACAAATGAGTAACGGATGCACAACACATCAGCCCTCACCTGGGTCTGGCTGGCATTGGACCCGCCATACTGAGCACTTGACTGTGGGCACTGTACGGGGGAGGGGGAGTGTTGGGTGGTCCCATGCGAGCAGCCTGGAAAAAAGATACCATTATGAATAAATAAATAAATGCCTCACAGGACTCAGGCGTCCAACATTTCAAAGAAATCTTAAACAGAACAATACTTCAAGGCATTATTAAACAGTCATACATCCAGTGGTGTGAGAAAACCAGACCCATCATCTTTTTTCTCTCATTCTAAACTGACATGACAAATTTTTTTTAAGTTTTATCATCTCCCTATTTATACAACAAATACCTCAAAATTTTTAAAAGTCATACATACACTCATAATATGACAAACTTACAACATAAACATATTACAACATAAAAAAAGAACCCATTGGCAGGGAGACAGTTTTTTACCCTCATATCTTTTAGAATTACACATAGCACATAACATATGATACACTCTTTAGAATAGATAAAAGAGAAACAAATCTAAAACCATGCCAGACATGATAAGTGTAGTTTTAGATGGTGAAGTATCAAAGCCTTCTAAAACTGTATCTTTTAATGGTCACAAATGTAGGAGAATACCCCAGACGAAATATTTTGAAACATAACTATGAAATGCATTGTCTTTGATCTGTCTAAAATATGAGAAATAATAAACAGACCTGCATGGGAAATCGATATCCTTGGTTCATCATCATCTGCTGTTGCATCATGGGATTCATTGGCATTCCCGGCTGCATGTACATCCCTGGCCCCCCAGGCATGGGAGAATTTTGCGGCACTGGAACCAACAAAGTATTGTTGAGCTCATATTTTACTAGAAAAGGATTAGGATGATAAAAAAACAGTCAAGAAGTAGGGGGAGCAGACTCCACTCGAGCACCCACTAATCATTTTCAGAAGCTACAAAAACTTTAAGGAGTATGACTATCATTACACATACAACAATTGTAGGTGAGTAAGTATTCCTCACAAGTAAAGAGAGTAGTCAGTCATTCTTCATTGAATTTGTTGTTGTCCTGAGTTTTGTTCTCGAACAAAAAGCATTGTCCATAACTATGGTTCATTGTAAAATGGGAAAATGACTACTAACAGAAGAAAAGAATGTTATTTCATACTTTACTAGCATTACATACATTATAATACAATTATATTTGTTAAAAACATTATTGTTCACGTACACACAGCAAGCGCTCTGCACGCACGCACGCACGCACGCACGCACGCACGCACACACACTCGCACACATATGTAACCCAACATTCACACACATAGGGCCTACAGGCCTACAGGCCTACAAACAAACACACACACACACACACACACACACACACACACATACACACACATGCACGCATACAAAACATACAATGTAAAATAACACATTTTAAATCTAAATGAACATTAAATTCCTACTGAATCTCAAAGGATGAAAAACTTTATCTTTGTATACAAATGTTACAGGTCAGGCCTAACAGACGTCTCAAACAAAAGTGAAAAATTAGACCTATATGAGACAGAGGGGTATGCAAATTTTTTTTAGCCAACCTTCAGAATTAATAAAGAAAATTTTAAACACTCTTATGAAGTAAAACAAAAAACTTACCCATGTTAAAACCCCCGCCAACAAAGCCTGGGACTTGATTAAACCTGCAAGCATAAAAGTACCAAAGATGGACCACAGTCTGACTTTGAATCACATAACAAGCTAGTCTAACATTATACAACAAACTTAGTATTTTATCAAGTATGAGCAAATTCTCACTTGCGCCCTAAAAATATTTAATTTCTTTACCAATGTTCTGTTACTGTATACAAATAAAAATGTGTTACTTTGAGCATTTCACTATTTCTGTTCATGGGTAGAGATAGAAGGACTGTACGGAGTTTAAATCTAGAAAAAAATTAGCGGCCATCTCTTTTTGTGTCCATAGCAGTGCTGAGAAGCAAGGACAGCATTTACTTTTCAACACATTGCTCCAACTTCTTTGTCGTTTAATAAATAAAGCTGCCAAAATGTAGACAGTCAAAAATAAAATAGAAATCGAGCAAAGGAAGGGGTACACAATAGGTGACAGGGAGGGACCAGGATAACGTTTTTTTAGAGCATCTGAGCAGAGAAATGAAGTGTGAACCATAATCACCACTGTCCATTTCAGATTTGGCACTTTGTGATGATGATGATACAACCAGTTTTAACTTGTTACTCTCTAAAGTGTGAATATCAGATCCAAACCAACAAACTATCAGTCCAGCTCAAAATTTTCTCGCGAATACACTTTACAGGCTAACCTGTGCAAGACGACCACGCATTCTCGAGAATATAAGTGGCCATATAAGATAGGTGGCCGTCTCCATGAAAATGAAGAAAACTAAAAATTTACTTCTGAGGTCCCAACTGGAGGTGGTCGCAGGCTTAGGACTGAATGTTGGTCTCATAAAAAGGGGGGGGGTTCCTTGGAAAAGGGGGGAGAGGATAGGACGGTTTTTGGGGGACTTTTTGTAGTTAGTTTTTTGCGTGTTTTTTTTCCCCTTAAATTATGTTTCCGAGAAAGGTCAAAACAAAACAAAATGTGTCAGACGAGGAAAATCAAGAGCCATAGTAAAACAAACAAACGGGTCGCCACTACTCGGCGAACGAGCGACACTTCTGTCACGAGTTTGTGTTGACTTCCATTGTTGTTATGAACTGGGTTTACGGACTAAGTTGTGGGCAGGGTTTAGGTTATATGATGGATCACACGCTTCCCTTACCAGCAGGCTGGATAGTACTTTACTGGACCACCTGTCTGGGCCTGTGATTAGATCTTCTACGCACTCATAGGTCTCTACGCGCGAACAAGAAATAGATTTAGATTTAGTTCCGCAGGCGACTACACAAAGAGCGCAAGCCAGCGGCAAGGCAAGGTGAGTGAGAGGTGGTGGTTATGGGGGGGTTGGGGATGGGGTGGGTAGAGGATGGGGTGGGTAGGGGATTTAACTTTGGTAGACCCACCGTGTTTAAGTGCCGTGTTTACGTTTCAATTAGGTCATTAGGAGGCCTAGATCTCACAACATGGGGGGTTTCAGGGTGCCCCCCTGGCAACAACAATCAATGAACAAATAATTCTGGACATAACTGCTGCCTATTGAGGGTGTATTTGGGGGAGACTGCAAAGCAGTATAATAATGAAATGCAAGGAACAAGTTGCAGATTAATTACGTCAGGAATGACTAATTATGGGGTCCACGTAAGTTTCCAACGCGAGACTGAGAACATGTATTCTAGACAATTTTCCTCAAGCATTAATATCTTCTTTTCGAAGCTCAATCCTAGCCTACTTTATTCCACTTCAATTCCATTATTTCAAACATTGTTTGATCGTAAAACCATTGCATGGTAGTTAATCAACCGCACACCAGCTGAGGTGATGACAGAAAAATTACCTCTGGTCGGCCATTTTGATGCTCTGCTATTTCACCTCAAATCACCGAATTGTTCCGAGCCTCAAAGTGGGCGTCTCCTCACGAAGGATACCTTCGTCTCTCATTCTGTACACTGCTCTGCACAACAGTTTGTTGTTGCTGCTGTTGTTTTTGCTGTTGTTCTTGTGTAAATTGTTGTTGTTGTTGTTGTTGTTGTTGTTGTTGTTGTTGTTGTTGTTGTTGTT